ACCAAAGGAATGACGGAATTCCATCGGTCAACTCATTTGTTGATAAAACAGACTTTGAAACAACATGGAATGATTTCGACGAGGTAGCAGACTTTTTCAGGAGGAGTGAGAACATCGAACTGAGACTGGCCCTGGTGGATTGGCTGAAGGCGTATCGGCAAGGTGCAACGGATAAATCACAATGGAGGTATCTGACTATAAAGGATTTTAATGGTAATATCTGGATAGATACCAGAATTCCATTCGGGGGTGTAGCAGGGTGCGGTACTTTTGGGTGGTTAGCAGACGCTTGGAAAGATATAATTACCTCACTATTTAAAGTAGAGAAGATATTTAGATGGGTGGACAATAATCTATTCATTAAGAAAGTGGATGATAATTTAAATATGGCCGATGTACTACAAGTAACCAAAGCGTTGGGTGTTCAATCTAATGATGAGAAGTTCGCAGATTGGGCAGTTGAACAGAAATATCTAGGTTTCTTGTGGAATGGGTCAACGAAAACAGTCAGGTTACCTGAAGAAAAACGGATAGAGAGGATAGGGAAATTATCAGACTTACTGTTGGAGAAGAGAAAGTGCAATAAGAAAGAAATTGAAAAGATTATAGGACAACTTAGCCACATGGTATACATACTTCCTCTGATGAAATGCTATATATGGCATTTATATAAGTTCGACAAGGAATGGTTCAATATCAGTGCAGTTAGAGAACTCCCGGTAGACGCAAGGTTGGAGTTAGTCGAATGGAAGGAAGCTTTGATTAACTTTGTGCCGCTCAAATTAGAACCCGAAGCCGTGCCGGATGAGATAGAATGGGTGGGAGATGCAAGTACCGGTTTCGGCGTCAGAATAAGGATCGGCGATAAATGGTCGAGGCTGAAACTACTAGAGGACTGGAGGATCACAGGGCTGTCACAGAGGAATCACAAACGTGATATCGCTTGGATAGAGACTGTGACAGTGAGACTCGGGCTATTGATGTTGGAGAAGATTCACCCGACGAAGAAAAGGAAGTTCCTGGTGTATACTGACAATACAACTACCAAGGCAGTCATCAATAAGAAGAAATCACGTCATCGATTTGTAAACGACGAGTGGAGGAAGATACAGCGCGAACTTACTAGATTGGAGTGTACCTTAGAAGCGAGAAGAGTTACTTCAAGCGAGAATCGCGCAGACGACTTGTCGAGAGGAGTGAAGTATAAAGGAGAAAGACGATTTGAAATAGTGTTCGACATTCCTAACGATCTGAAGCACCTGTTTATAAAGGATTGAGAGGTGTAATGATTACTAATCAAAAAAAGATTCAATATTTTTTGAAGGATGTGGAAGGGTAAGAAAAAAAAATAAAAAAATAAAGAGACAGGAATTGATAACTGACATTGTCTTCTGTTGTTATATTTGTATTGGTATCAGAAATTTTAACTGGAGAGATAATAAAGTGAAGCTGAGACTCTTGAGTGGTAGTTGGTCACAAGCAACACTAGAGAATTACAGTTCGTCGATGGCCAAACTAGAACAGTTCGGTGAAGCTAACGGTATCCAAAGATGGGTCCTATTACCCCTAAATCAAGATCTACTTTGGGAGTTTATCGTATGGGCAGGGAAACAGTGTGATGTTAATTTAGATGGGGTTACAGACCTAGAAAACGTTCTCGATGAAACAAAGGAAGATCATAAAGTCACAGCTAAGACACTTACAAAGTATATTTCAGGTATTCGTTCCTGGCACCTCTTCCACAACCTACCCTTCCCGACGGAGAACGATAATACGGTTAAACTGTTATTGAAAGCTTCAAGTATGGCAGATGCGAAGGAGAAGGAGGCACGGTCGAAAAAGGAGTTGAAGAGACCGGTGCAGTTGAGGCACTTAGCAGAATTAGCATTGGAATTGTCGGGTGGAAATCAAAGAGAGTGAATTGCCTTGACGGTAGCGCTGGTCGCCTTTTGGGGTATGGCGAGGCTGGGGGAACTGGTATCGGACGATAAGGAGAAAAGATTAATTACCTTTAAAGATGTCCTTCAAGATAGCGATCCACCGGGCAAAAACCGCAAAACCGGGCGAGATCCAGTGGTTACAACTCGATAGAATCCCGTCCCTTCTTTGCCCGTGGGCAGCCTTGCATCGGTTGTTAGAAGAGTCCACGGCCCCGTCAATCCACTTACCTCTCTTTTCTTTTTATGAAAAAGGGAAACTGGTAACTTTGTCGAAAACAGTGGTAATGAATATTTATAAGAAAGTGTGGATGAAAAATGATAAAAACAATAAGTTATCTGGACACTCGTTTCGAGTAGGAGGTGCGACTTTTAAATGGAATGACCAGCAACCACTAGAAGATATACTAAGGATAGGCCGCTGGGAATCGAAGGCATATCAGTGTTATTTGAGACGATACACCGAAGAAGATGTTAAAGACGCTAAATATATTTGGAATGTGATGAAACCATCAGGAGTAGATAAGGATGGTACGGGGAAAGATGTAGGGAGAAACGAAAACTAAAGAGGGAGGGAAACGAAAAGACGAGGAAGGAGAGCTGAAATAGGGAAAAGGACTTAAGGTGAAATGTATCGTGATTAAAAATGGTTCAGTGGAACCCTCGCGGGAAACCGCTAGTAGAGATCGGGGGTTGAGAGAGAGATCTGGTACAGTTGAGTGAGCTTGACATGGATTGAGGGGAAGTTGATCGACGTGCATGAGAAGAATAAAAGATCGACCAGAGCTGTCACGAGCTTCTCAGGTCATACCGAGGTGGGCTCTCCGCTGGCTCCGGGCGTTAAGCCCTGAGAAGAGGTAGCAGAGAGCCTACCTAATAAACAGACTCACGGCCATATAGGCCCCCCCCCAAACAACCTTGTAGCTGAGTGAACACATTGAGCTGCAGGCTGAATAGTCTGTAAATTAGAGTAGAATCACTACGAGATAGGAAACTAAGATTATATGTATAGAAGATTAGATGCAAATAGAAATAAGTAAAGAAGAATAAATAAACTTAAGTTACAAATACAGAAAAGAAACAACATAAGGAAAAAGAATAAAGAAAAAATTTGATAATGAAAACCTAACCGTGCACATGATTTAGATGGAATGGTACGGGTGCCCAAAGGGACGACGGTACCCGTAAAGTTCCATCAGAAGAATGAGGGTACGGGGCAGTAGAGCCCGGGTACCGAAGGAAGCGAACGGAGTGAGAGAAGTCCCACGCACAGATAGTGCTGGGTAGAGAGATGGATCGAGTGGAAGTAACTTCCATCTCGAAGAGAACCTTTTAACTTTTCCATACGGAAAACAGGAGGAAGGTAACACAGACAAACTCAAGACATCTTCGTTTTCATTTCAAACTTTTTCTTTTCCTCCCACCCACCCCAACACCCTACCACGCAGAGAGCCTACCTAATAAACAGACTCACGGCCATATAGGCCCCCCCCAAACAACCTTGTAGCTGAGTGAACACATTGAGCTACAGGCTGAATAGTCTGTAAATTAGAGTAGAATCACTACGAGATAGGAAACTAAGATTATATGTATAGAAGATTAGATGCAAATAGAAATAAGTAAAGAAGAATAAATAAACTTAAGTTACGAATACAGAAAAGAAACAACATAAGGAAAAAGAATAAAGAAAAAATTTGATAATGAAAACCTAACCGTGCACATGATTTAGATGGAAGAAGCAGGGAGGGTCCAGGGATATCTGAGATATCCCTGCGCCCGTGCCGGGGCCATGCCTGTTTGCCCGTTGCGGGGTTGCGTTGCTCACAACGGGTCGAGAACCGCAACGCAACCGTCTGTAATCCCGGACCTGTACCAGCAACGCACCGAGCAACAGCCTGACTCGTTGCGTTCCGTTGCGTTGCTGGTGTCTCGCCGTTGCTCGCCGTTGCTGTGCGTTGCTCAGTCAAAGCAACGCACCGGCCCAACGTTGGTGCTGGCCACCTTGTTTTACAACAGGAGAGTTTCTTATGGTACTTGACTGTCAAAAATTTCCTTGGGTTTTGAACAAAAGACTGTGAAAATCTTGACCTGAGCCCGCTTGCTATGGGCCTGTTCTGCACTTGTGGTTGCCACAATTGCATCACATATACTTGTTCAGATTCACAAAAATGATTTATTGGATCACTTGACACATCAAATTGGTCAACAAGCTAACTTAACCCAAGTCCAATCGTGCAAAAGCTCAAAACTTCCACTTTTAAACTTCAACTTCCTGGGTTTTGAACCCAAAACTGGCCGCGTATATGCAAGTCATGAATTATTCTCAAGCATAGATCTTTGCTCATCTGAAATCGAAGTTCAAACTCAAGGTGCAAAATAGTCGTTGTAAATTTGTTGAGCGCGAGCAACACGGTCTCGATCTATGCGTATACGGGTATGAGGACGTGAAGGAGGTAGATGGAGCCTGTTGAAGAGGCAGCCAAAGACCAATTCAGTCATAATCCTGTTGTTTATCATTGTTGTTTGAAGACTTCAGAAGGGTGTTGACTTGTGTTTTCCAGGAACTTGGAGCAGGCATCAAGACGTGATGGAAATTGTCTTGGATGGAGGTCAACAGAAACAAGATGTTTCAGTTCAAACTCATACTACTGTGGATCTGGTTGATTGACAGTGATTGATGTTGGTAAAGTCCCATTAATGGATTTCCTGTGGTTACCAACTTAGCAATCACAGAGACGCATCATCCGATTTCGCGATCAGGAACCCAAATCTAATTACTACGATCAAACACCCTCAACATAGTGGATGGTCTTACGATTCTATCATTCTGATTCTGAACATAAATCGATCGTTTCAAAGTGATCGATCTTTTCGAATCACATTATCTAGTTTACCAAGATCGGTTTACAAAGTTTTCCTTCAAGACCTTCGGATTCGTAAATTCATCTTAGAACTTTAGAAATGAATCACAACAGTGACACTGATACGAACGTAAGTTTCTTTCTTCTTGATCAAAACCTTACAAAGAACTCAGCTTATAATCCTTTGTTTGTATGGATGATTCTAAACTCAAGACTTCAAATCCGAACGGACCACTTCCATTCTCATCAATCATCTTTGGAGCTGCAACTTTCGTAAGTCAAAACCATCAATGATTCGAACAAACCACTCTGAACCCAGAAAACAAAAACTAATCGATTTTTGCAATTTACCGGGTTGATGTGGTTTGTTTACAAAAAGAGTGCAAGTTATAATGATTCAAGTAAATTAAAAAGTGAAATTCCAGAAAAGACTTTACTAAAAGCTCTTAGATCAGGTATTAATGCAATCGATACAAGTCCTTATTATTTGTAAGTTCACTTTGAATTGTCTCATCTTGTCCCTCCCCTCCCAAAGAAATTGATTTATTTTGTTTGGTTGGTTGGGTTTAGTGGTAGTGAAGCTATTCTAGGTAAAATTTTATCAAAACCTGAAATCCAATCTGAGTTTCCTAGACAGTAGGTTTTTCTCATAAAAACACATGAGAACCCATGCAATATTTTTAAAAAATTCAATGTTCTTCTAAAATCTTGATGAATTCATGTTTTTTGATTTTTTTTTCTTCATACAAATCAGTACTTATCATCTCTTAACGAAATGTGGAAGATATGGTCCAAAAATTCAAGATTTTGATTATAGTCCTGATCGAATCCGTAAATCAATTCAAGAAAGCTTTAAGTTAATGGTAAGTTTATACAAATCAAGTCCGAAACGAAAAAAAATGATCAATTCTTTCAAATATACTAATCAAGAAATCCAATCAAACTTGATTTTTCTTTTTTGGAGGATTTCTTGTAGCACACATCATATTTAGATGTAGTTTATTTACATGATATTGAATTTATTGCTGAAGAACTTGATGAAATCGATTCGAATCAAGTTCATGATCAAGTTATAAGAAATCCAATCAAACCTTTAGGATCTGGTGATCAACTCATTCTTAAAGCGATTCAAACTTTATTCCAATTAAAACAAGAAGGTAAAATCAAAAAAGTAGGAATCAGTGGTGAGTCTTCTTCACCCCCCAAAAAAAACTTCACTCATAAAACCGATTTCTAACTCGATTTCCTCTTGATTATTGTTATCGAAAAAATTAATAATTTCATAGGTTATCCTCTTCCGACCCTCTTAAGAATCTCTAAATTGATTCACCAAGAATTAAAAACCCCATTAGACATCATCATGTCATACTCAAATTATACACTTCAAAACCAAAGCTTAAAACCATATGTTGATTTATTTCATCAACAAGGAATCCAACAAATCATTAATGCCTCACCATTTTCCATGGGACTCTTAACTACTCTTGGTCCTCAACTTTGGCATCCAGCTTGTGATGAATTAAAACAAATTTGTCAAGAGATTGGAAAGATTTGTCAAGAAAAATATCAAAGCAGATTGGAACGTGTTGCATTAAAGTTTGGAATTCAAACTGTTTTGAGTCATCATCAACAAGAAGAGGGTAAGATTGATGCGTTGGTAGTGGGCTTTTCGGGTGTTGAGGAAGTTGAAGAATTGGTGGAGATTCAGGATGAACTTTTGAAGCAAGATCGTGTTCAAGTTGAACGTACCAAATTGATTGAGATTGGAATTCAAGAGTTCTTTAAACAATCTGGTTATCTTAATTGGTGTTGGCCTACTACTTATTTAAGATAACCTTTTCTTTGAAACAGAAAGGGAGGTTATAT